TGTATGATGAGTGGTGTATGATGAGTGGTGTATGATGAGTGGTGTATGATGAGTGATGTATGATGAGTGGTGGTTGAACAGCTGTTGAATGTCCGTAACACGGAAGTTTTGCACACTAAACTTCCTTTGATCAATATATGCTGGGTACGCTTTGTGGGGATGACACAAACCTAAACTTCCCCATAGTGGAGCGGAACCACGGGCTGTCAAAGGCTTCCGGGAGACCAAGCCACCACCAAAGACGAAGGCAACTTCAACCTGTTTTGCTTCTGCTCACATGCTACCACCAAATACTGCTTGGACGGGCCAGCCACTAAGCCTAAGCTCTAATTTTCCGTAGCACTAAAGATTGACCTCCGGAAAAGAGCTTGTTTCTAAAAGCCGCCTTTATCCATCCCTTTCGTGGGCCCAAACCTCAGGTACAGTAGACGTGCAACACATCCATCAATTCATCCAACTGGGTGTGGTGAAAAAGGACCCACACCCGTCCACACCGGTCCACGGTGCACAGTCCTGCCGTCGGCTCCCCGTTGAGTCCGGCCTGGGTGCCAAGATGTCGGCGGGCTCCGCCACCAGCCGCAGCAGGGCGGCCTCCTCCAGCTGCAGCAGCGCCGTGATCGAGGCGCCTGGCGGAGAGGAACCGCAGGAGGAACCCAAACCCGGCGGAGAGGGTGAGAGAGGGAGAGTTGGAGAGATGTTTTCGTGGCAAGAAGCAAGCTACTAGTAGGGCACTTGTTCACAGAAGGGAAGGAAGAAAGAAAGGTCTAAAGTTTAAAGGTCTGTATAACAAAGAACAGGGAAACGGAAAAGGGCTAGAAAAGAGGTCAAGTACAAGTCCCACAGGTGTTTCAAGTCTCACATCGGCCATTCACCCAAATCCATTTCCGCCTCGTCAAGATTTTCGACGGTTCTCCTAATCCGAGAATTTCCGGCTTTGTGTTCGATCGCACCATGTAACAAGAAGCTATTAGAAAAAAGTGCCATGCTACTAGGAACAAGTGCATCGCTTCTAGTAACAAGTGCCTTACTAGTAGTAACAAGAAGCTATTAGATTTCTTTTTTTCGTCCATGTTCACTGTTAGCTCGGGTAGCAGGAGGACACGATGGCAAGGATGCGGAAGCGCTTTCGGGTACGCTTTGGAGGTCTTCTGACATGTTTTTCCGGCCTGCTGGCACCATGTAGAGTTCCGATGAGAGCAGCTCTTGCCTTAGAGTCTGAGAGTCGAAAGCAAGTGATTTGTCCTCTATGATGATTTTCTCCAAGATTCATGTCATCTGTGCTGCATTTTGATGGCATTCCATAACCCGCAAAATCTGCCGAATTGGCTGGATAGCGAACAACTTCCCAAGGGCACGTTCATTGATCCCTGCCTCCTTTTTT